TATATATATATATATATGTTTCTTATATAAAAACATTTTTTCTATGCTGTCTTATTCCGACTTGGAAAAAAGACTATATGTATGAATACTGTTGCTCTGATAAAATGCACTGAAAATGTGTACAAATTCATATATCAGAATATCTCATGGTACATAACTACTACGTAGTTTCCAATGTACTAAGAAATCTTGAATGTTTAACGTGTAAACAAACGAATTATGAATAAGTTCCAGAAGCTTATGACAAAACTAAATCGATCATTCCTAACTTTTTTGTCTTTTTTTTTACAGCAAAGAACACGATAGACAGTCGTTACACGAACATCGTTATACGATATAATCTATATAAAATAAAACTATTCGTTTATTTATTCACTTACTGAATTATGCCTACACGGAGTTATCAGGTCGTTTATCGTTGAATTATGACGAGTTTTTCTGCAGCCTTCGTTATCATTTACGAGATTAGGATTAACAGAGTGTGAGAGCGCAGCTGTTTTGTTGAAGTCTATCGTAGCATAGCCTTTTTGCGACTTGTTTGGAGATTCGGGGGGAGAGGGAGCAATGTTTATCACAATGTCAGATGCGCCAGTAGGTGTGTCTTTCTTATCCAGATCTAAAACTGCATAATTTACTTCCCTGATCGGACATCCCGTCGGCGTGGAGGGTGCCAAGGGCGATCTCTCAGCTACTGAAGTGCCAGAGAATCTCTTCCTCAGACTTTCGATTTCGCTTGCCTCTAGATTAGCATAGCAATGCCTAGAACCTTCTTCCATGTCCGATTGTAAGACGGGCAATGGAGGCGGACGCACTCTAATGGCAATGTTCTCTGTGTGATCTTGTTCAGGATTTATATTCATATATGAATGTCCAAATCCCTCTATGTCATTATTCTCTTCTTTGAGCTGATTCTCGCAAGTACTGTGCGTTGGCGAAATTGGGTTGGATTCGCTACAGATGTCTATGTTCATGTAGGGTACCATAGTCGGTGATAATGGTGACGTTGCGTCACAACTGGATATTTCTGTATTACATTGAATGGGTAATAATTCCATTTCCACAGGTCTATGACTGATGGATATCGCATTACTGACCATAGAAGCAATTTGTGGTGATCTGTAATAATACTCGTAATAATACATGAGAGAAACTCGTGTGTGATATCAGATCCTATGTATTTTATACCACTGATTACATGAATAAATCAATGCTACCTTTGTACTGCCCTTCCAAGGCTTTTATTATTGTTGCGCTCCATTTCAATGGGAAGGGACGACAAAACTTCCTCATTGACATAAAGAGAGGACGGATGAGGTTGAGAAATTGGTGGCGGTGGTGGCAGCATAGGGGGTGATGATGGTGATCCCAAAGTTCCTTGGGGCGATACTGGGCCACTACTACTTCCAACACTGTTTAATCTTCTAATACCGTTCTGTTGGCTATGAGGAAATCTAGAATTTATACGATTGTGACTTCTAGATGATATTGGATCTAAATAATTAGGTTCCACATTTTGTACTGCTACACTTGCTACTGACACAGAATGCGACGGGATTGGAAGATCCCTGGACAGTGTATCATCTCCACTGTTATTGCATACCTGTTAATAAGAAAGTATTTTCTTTAAATATCGTCACATCATATATTTAAATGTTAATATTAGGAATAATATATACTGATATAAACCTGAATTTTTGTCTGTACAAGATTAAACAGTTCTTCAGCTCTCCGACACTTAAAGGCATATATACCAGGACCTGTAGAGCAGCGTCTGCCTGACTCAAAACTGAAGAGTCCTTCCAGGTCATACCCATATCGTCGTAAACAGCGCAACGGCCATTTATGTTGTTTGCCACGTTGATACAATATAATGTCTACTTCGGTTACTTCTAAACGTCCAGGGGAAACAAAATTACCATCATCGTCTACGTTCATTACTTGAAAAATGTTGGGATGCAGATCGTTAATGTCTGCTCTGCTATTGACACAACCCATCCTTCATTTATCTAAATAAAAACATAATATACAATTTGCAAAATTTGATTTATAAATCAATCATCACTGTACATTTACACCAAGAAGCACATTTTATATATATATATATATATATATATATAAAACAAGGGAATAAACACTCTTGCAACCCTTCCTTCTTTATCTTATATATAATAGTCCTGATTATTCCAAGATACACAGCAAATAAATAAAGGAGTAAAACTACATGTGGCGTAAAATGTAAAGAATGAAAAGCAAATTAGTATGTTTTATCGATGAGCTGTTATGTTATATATCAAAGATCAGATACACACCAAGATCAAATACATAGCCAGACACAAAAGTTGTCTTCTGATCGTCGCTGATTATCCCGTGGTCACTAACAGCATATTCTTGCACATTGGCGCAGCGCTATGCCATTTCTGGCCACTCACTTTTGGCCACTTTAGCATAATATGCGCGATTCAAGTGAGATTCGAGTACAGGACTGACAAGGATAGCGCCAAATTCATCATCGATGCAACAAACCAAACGTAGGACGTAGGCACGTTTCAATTACAAATTACAAATATTTGATAAGCTTTAAGGACTAGGGAAGGGGAGGGGAGATGGGGAGATTGTCAGGGCGAGATACGCGAGAATGATTAATACGCCCTCAGATTAAATTCTACGAAAGTTTACCGAAACACTCTGTTCCTATGATAAGTTCCTATAATAACTCATTGATACAGACAATTGATACAGACTTTGTGCTCTAAAATTCACTGCCAATTGACAAGAATCTACGGTTTACGTTACGTATATTATATATTTTCATCACTGGCAACGAATTTTGAAACACAGCTACTGTTGCTAAGGAAAAGGGTAATAGCAGAGAAAAATCTGAGAGTAGGACATTATGCGTGTATCAAATCTCGTAGAATAATGTCCACATTTTTTGTGGTTCGATATTATTACGTGGGTTAGATAATGACGAATAATCAAAATTGACTGTTCGTCTTTGTCTAACTCACGTAATAGTATGGCAAAAAAGCCACAAAAACGTGGTAATAGCATATGCTCTTATTTATCAATTATCGATAATAAAGTACTTCTGTAAATATTTTATTGCGAAATC